TGGACACATCAACAGGCCTTATATGGTTAGGAGCTGATGTTAAAGGCCGGGTCAAAGAGAATGTCAGACAAGTTTATGGTGCATGTATGATAAAGCCTGTAGGACAAGCGAAGATGAGTGGCATCTAACCTCTTTCAGGTCATTTGTTGAATGCTTGCACGCATGTCACAGTTCATAGCCGATGACCTATTCATTCGATCCATGTGCAGTCAGCATGACATCTAACACCCATAGATATACAGCCGCCTCACGCACCATGTGTTCTGAAGTAAGGCTTACATCAAGAGCTGCCATTAAGCTACAGTTATAACACCAAGCATGCTGCTGTCAGATTGCCCAGCTGTTGCTAAGGCATTGGTAAGCGGTTGTTAGGGTGTTCTGGGTGGTTACCTATTGGCCCAAATCGAAACAGTTCATCTTTAAACCTCTATGATAGTATGGTTCTGGCCTCTAGATACAGCAAAACCCTTTGAAAAAACCCTAACCCCTAAGTATAATAATAATAATAAATATGGCGAATGAAGAACTTTTTTTACTGAAATGATTTCAAGGATTTTTTTTTATTTATCTCATGACTTCTACAACACTTTTTAGCAAAATAATTCTAGAACCTTTTTTAAAGGGAAACAAATAAATAATTATGTAAGTAATTTAATTTATTAATTTGGAAGCAAATTCTATAACTTTTTTGAAGTGAATTCTAGAGCACTTTTTGAAAAGTGAAATAAACAAACAAACAAACAAATACAAAAAGAATGATATGGCAAATGAAGTAAATTCTTTACTTTTTAATTAAATTAATTTTCGAAGCTTTATTGAGAATGAATACTAGAAAACTTTTGGAAAAGTGAAATAAATCAACAAAAAAATTAATAATAATAATAATAATAAACCCAACAATATGGTTAATTGATTAAATTATTAATCAAATTAAATTTAGCACCTGAGAGTGACTGAGTGAGATTTTAAACCTTTAAGAGTGCATTCCAGAACACTATTGACAACTAAAACAAATGAATAAACAAACACACTAACAAACAAATAAATCTTCAATGACATAGCAAATGAAGTAAATTATATAACTTTTTAATGAAATGACATTTAGCACCTTTATTGAGAGTGTATTCTAGAACCGTTTTGGAAAAACAACAACACAAATCTAGAAAATGTATTCTGCAACCTTTATTTGGTGAGTGAATTCTAGGACACTTTTTTCACAAATGGATTCTACAACCAAAAAACTATTTTGTTCAATTTTGCTGCCTCCACTTGCCTGGTCATTCATTCAGCTGTTTAGTATTTCTGGATTAGTGATTTCTCTCTCGCTCTTCTTTGATCACCTCATCTCTCTCTTCCTCTCTCTGTCTTTCAGCTCTGATTTTAATGCTCTTCCAATCAGTGTGTCCATTAAGCGCAGAGCTCATCAATGCACGTTTACTCACGCATGCAGATGAGCTCCTATTGCAGTGTATTGCAAACGCCTCAGAGACCTCCTCGTGTGTGTGTGTGTGTGCTTCATACTGAGATGGAAGAGATAAAAAAGTGAAGGGCTACAGTTAAATGGGCCTTGAGAGACTCCAGATGAGTGTGTTTTGCAGAAGTGAATCTGTATGTAGGGCTGGACAATAATTCAATATGTATCGCGAGGTTTCATAGAGTTGGCAAATTAATTTTTCATAAGTTTGTAGGTACAGACATCTGTTGTGGCCGTTCTTGGCCGTTTTTATGAGGCTTTTTTAATAGTGTTCATATCGATATCGGAATTATATCGTATCGACCGAAATTAAGAAATATATCGTGATATAAATTTTGGCCATATCGTCCAGCCCTATCTGTATGTGTGTGAACAAAAACACAATGAGAGAGAAGAGGAGTTGAATGTCAGTAATCCATACTCTCCTGGCAAGGTGTGTGTATGTGCATGTGTGTGTGTGTGTGTGTGTTTCTGATGGCTCTCAGAGGAGGGGTAGATGTAATGAGAGTGAAGGAGGATGCTTCTGTGCTGCGTGAGCGTCTCCGCTGGGGTCCAGACCTGCATTTCAGTTCTTAATGAACATTCACAAGCCTTCCCACTCCCTCACTAAATGCATACACATCTCCACCTCTGACTCCTCTGCTATTGAGTTAATTTGACCTCCTTCCATCTATAATTGTTGGTGGGTTTGCTAAGTAGACAATATATTACTATTGCTCCTATTAGAGTTACAGCTTTGAACATAATCATACCCTTAAGTATTAAACTTTGACATGTCACTTGTCAGCTTGTCACAGAAAACTGCATTATATGCAATTTTCTCTTAGTGACTGGTTAAAAAAAGGATTGGTTTGATAGAGGGACCTGGGCTATATCTAGCCACCGGAGTTATCCCAAAATTGATCAGAAATGTGAAATCTGAAAGAACAGATTGCGTGGATGATGTAAACGCAGCTGTTTTAAATTCTTCCATTAGGCTACTGTTTTTTTTTTTTTTGACTTATACATTTCCCTAGAATCAGAAATTGATGAAATTTGGTCTGCATCCTCACATGGCCTTGAAACCCATGTGTACCAAGTTTTGTGAACTTTGGATTTTGTGTTACAAGCCAATTTAGTAATTATGTGCAACGCCTGAAAATGTTATTGGCTCAAATCTGTGATTTAACAAATCAAAATTATTTTGACAACTTTTTGTCAAGGTTGTCTCTAGATGATATACGCCAATTTTCATGCAAGTTGGATGAACAGCCGGGAAAGATTTCAAAAACTGAGCCCATATGGTTCCTGAGACATAGGCTAGAGAAAAATACAAATACATTACTTTTCACAGAGCCGCCCTGTTGGCAACTCCCAAAAATGGTAAACAACCTCTTCTGGGACACTTTTAGGATAAAAAAATTAACAATAAAAACAAAAAGAAAAATACTGAGAAGAATAAAACCAGCAATAGGGTTCCAAGAGCCGAGAGCAGGGGTTGTGAAAGCTGCCAGCAGTGTGTGATGATAAACACCTGAAGCTCATTCTGCCTCATCACTGAAGCTGTAAATCCAAAACAGCTCCTCTCCTTTGGGAAGGCCAGCATGGACTAAGCATGGACCAGGTGTTCTCAAGGTCTCAGTACGACACGAAGAGCCTGAGCGTGATGAGCACACCACAACCTTGGGTGACCTCCAACAACGTCCAGCATTACAGCGTGTTTACCATGCGCTTCAGCTCTAAAGCAACACGTGATGAATAGTGGACATGGTTGGGGAAGTTGAGGTTGAATCAACAGCCAGCATTGATTGGTGGGGAGCATTACTTTCAAAAAATGCGGGGTTACAATATTCTGTATTTTTTTTTAAATATCGTCTACAAATATTTTATCGCTACAAATAACATCTACAACAGTATTACACACTCTCAGACCTACAACACCCATCATGCTCAGACATATTATAACTCCTATAAAGGTAAGGTCACAAATAAATAAACAAAACAAAACAAAACAAAACAAAATTAAATTAAATTAAATTAAATTAAATTAAATTAAATTAAATTAAATTAAATAAAGGTCTTTCTATAAGTAACAATTGTGTGTGTTTTTTTTTAAATGGGACATGGGATTTGTATTTGCCAGTAAATAACTTAAGCAGAAAAGTAATGCAACATATCTACTATCTGCTAAATTAAGTAAAAATGCACATATCTACATGTTGCAGCTTATTGTGAATGATTCATCCGTGTGTTGTCTGGTGACTTCTTCAATCAATCAATTGTCTACAAGCTCGCATAAATTTTTGAGTGAACGCCCATATCTCAAAATCCAACCAACAACCTATTGGATAGAACCAATTCCTCACCCTACATTTCTTTTTCTTTTACGATAATCTGATGCACTTGAAATTTACGCCACAATACTGAAGAAAAAGATCTGTCTGTACTTCCATTTCATCACAACTCTGACATGCTGAAAATTTGATTAGTACCGGAAGTATGTAACATGCGTTAATCATAATGGTACACCAACAATTGTGCCCCCACTACTAAACACTGATTAAAATGAATGCAGAAGTCCTCACGCTCCTATTCCTAATTAATTAATCAAATTCAGCTCAAAACACAGGGCACACCCTAACATGTCATTATGGCCTAGTAATTGTCCATCGCATTCATTCTGCAGGACAAAAGAGTGCTGGAGTGGTGGAGCACGAATCAAGGGGCACTAAAACTAACCCTTTAGTGCTCCTGAAACATGACCTGGAAACACTTGTCGTTTTTATTGTTCATTACGAAACAGCATGCAAAGCACTACGCTAACTAATCCCATTACGCTAATCCGCCTCAAAACAACTTATTGAGCAGATAAGAGTGTGGATAATTTATGCGGGATTCAAATGAGCACCAAATCAGAGTAATGAATGGAGGCCCCGGCTTAATTAGCCTGGCATTGAGAAACACTTCCTGCGTTCTCAACCAAATGGATGCACGACGCATTATTTCAAAGAGCCCAGAGGGGCAGGAGACCAGGAAAGCACCTTTTCATGATAGCAGCCCCCAAAAGTGTGTTATCTGTACTTGTCTCGTCCCTCTGGAGGAGCTTTGCGAGGAGAAGCCGAGTAAATGTTAATCCTCCATATGGATTTATTTTCAAAATTAACCGATTCCGCATTTGCTTCGACCTCTTTGTAGGGTGAAGTTGGCGGTGAAATTTTGCAAATCAGTCACAGTTGGGGTGACATTTAACTAGGCAACAAAGCTGTTTACAGGAACATAAAAGCTACACATTTGCTGCCATGCACATTAATGTGTATATTTCAGAAAAGTTTCCAGTCCAGCAATTACCAGTGATGAATATAAGCAGGAAACCTATGCATTGATGAATAAAACATTCCCTTATTAAAAATAACCTCCATCTAAACAGCCTCTAGCATCAACTAATCATAGCAAGAGTGTGGGTCAAGGTAAAAAAAAAAAAAATAAATAAAATAAAATAAAATAGTACCAGGGAGTCCCCAGAAAAACCTAAGGCCGTTCACTCTACCTGAACATGTCGCCCAGGCCCTTCAGCACGCCTTTCTTGGCTTTGCTCTTGTCTTTCTTGTCCTTCCCTCCTCGCTCCTTCTTCTTGTCCTCTTTGGTGCGTCCTCCGTTCAGCTGTTTCTCTGTGTTGGAGGGTGGGAGGGTGAGGTCCGTGGCCGTGGAAATGGAGTCGCGGCCTGATCGTGAGCTCTCCTCTGTATCTTCTTCCACTGAGATGGTGGAGAGAGAGACAGATAAACATCAATGTTGAACTCAAGACTATATGTAAGTCACTGCAAGCTCTTAAGAAAGAGCAACAAACACTTAGTAGCACAAGGTTAGGTTTGCCAAATAAAACCAAAAACAACACACTAGCAACCACCAAAAATACCCTATCAAACATCTAGCAACTACCCATTACACTTTAGCAACCACTTGTTAAATAATAATAATAATAATAATAATAATAATAGTAATAATAATAATTAAAGTGGCTGTTTTGCAAGTTTCACTAACATTTTCAATAAAATAAAATAGAATAAAATATCTCTAGTGATTTAGATAATAGTAATAGTAGACTGAAACCACAGTTTCATTGAATGATGATACTACTACAACTACTACTATTAATTATAATATTTTTACCAGGCAAGTGCTGCTAACATTTAAAATAAAATAAAATAAAATAAAATAAAATAAAATAAAATAAAATAAAATAAAATAAAATAAAATAAAATAAAATAAAATAAAATAAAATAAAATAAAATAAAATAAAATAAAATAAAAATAAAAAAAATAAAATAAAATAAAATAAAATAAAATAAAATAAAATAAAATAAAATAAAATAAAATAAAAATAAAAAATAATGTCTAGCAATTTGTATAAGCGTAGCTCAACTGATACCATAGTTTCACTGATAAGGAATTTGGGCTAATTTAGTGTCTCAAAGCAGAAACGGTCAACGGTCTGACTTCTTTAAACATTGACTTAATAAAACATCTTAATGAGACCTCGTCTTCAAGTCCAACTATATCTAACTGAGGCTCGTGAGCTCCTCATCTTGCCTGAATCTCTTTTGATTTTTCCTTAGCTGAGTTTTACCTCAGAGGTTACTCACTCTGAAGGAACCCCATTATCTTTTTGCTTCTAAAGGGTCACATCTTCCCACCACAGTTCGGCGGTCTCAAATTCGGTTACTCAGGAGCAGTGAAGAAAGCCTATTAGCGTTACTCCTCACTGACCCAATAAAACTCATGTAGAAAGTGAACTTAGAAGTTCAAAAGGCTAAAGTGCACCAGAAGAGGCTCGTCTTCTGTTCACCTCACCGCTCTGAACGGAGTTTCTGCAGTACCACATCTATAGCCTGTCTCAACTTCTGCAGTTTAGAAGTATAAGTTTGTATAATAGTTTATTCTGCTGAAGCTGAGGTCTAGACATCATGCAGTCAGAATATAAAAGCCCTGGAGTTTGACTGGATGCTTTGGTTGTATAGAAAAGAGCAGACTGAATGTGCTGTGTTGGGGGCAATGCATTACAAGTAACACAAGTAACGTAATCAGATTACTTTTTTCAAGCAACTAGTAAAGTAACACATTACTTTTTAAATTTACAAGAAAATATCTGAATTACTTTTTCAAATAAGTAACAGCAGTTACTTTGTTTTCCCAAGTATTGACTGACGGCTCTCCGGTTGCCATGTTGAGAGAAATCAGGAGTGAGTGCAGAGGCGTTGTGTGCGCTGTGTGAACATGATGTTACTATAGATCTAGACTAAATGTGAAAATGCATTTACTCATCTCACTTGCACAAAAAAAAGATTCAGTATTCCTCAAAATGAATAAAAATTGTGAAACGCAAACTCAGAATATTACGCAAACCTGCAATATTTAAATGTTAAATAACACAGATGTATTAAATCCCATTTTATTGACCAATATCTTTGCTGCTGAATTTCGATGAGCTAATTCAACCATACTAATAAGCAAAAATAACCTTAGATAAGCATAACAATTGTGTTTTTTATTGCTAAAGATTTGATTTTTTTTTTTATGTTAAAGACAAACAAGTCCAGCCCAGATTTAAAAAGTAATGCAAAAGTAACACAAAAATAATGCAACACATTACTTTCCATAAAAAGTAAATAACACAATTAGTTACGTTTTTTAGGGAGTAACGCAATATTGTAACGCATTACTTTTAAAAGTAACTTTCCCCAACACTGCTGAGTGTGCTTCAGAATAACTCTTTTTGTGTTCCACGTTTTGAGTTTGGCGATCATTTCAGAAAGAATTGCTTTGCTGACCGAGTATTTTATCACGTCACCACCACACTATTAAGATGTTTACTTGGAAGACAAAGAGTTCATCTCTTCTAATGGACAAGCCGAAGGAGGATCATATTCTCAGAGCACTCTTAACATCTAATAGCCCATGAATTTTGTAACGCTGATTTTATGGATTCCAGTCAACGGGATGATGTATTTCATTAATGATATATTAATGCAAGTACTTTGATGCTGTTTTGGAAAAGCGAGTGACTCTCTGTGGGAACATTTTATTTTGAAGTATCGTTTGCAATGCTAATTCATCCTCCACCACCTATCTTCGTGATACGCCGCATATCAGTATAATCATAAGGGACCGCAGCTGGCTGATATTGCTCATTTCCATTTCAGCAAGCGTCTGATTACAGCTACTGTCTCCATTCCTGATGGTCTGGACGTGATTAATTTGTTACTAATTGTAAGTTTAAAAAACGCTCAGAAAGGAGGAAAAAAAATAGAGGGCACTAAAAGCAAAGTGCTTTTGAATAGAGCGACGTAACGGCGGAGATGTGGCGCTGGAGACAGATGCCTGTGTGATTAGAGCTTATTAATAACCAACAAATCTCTGACGCGAGAGAACTGGAAGAAAGGCCTCGTGAAAGCGAGAGACCGTCACAGATATTTCCGTATGCTCAGATGAGCGGTTTAACGTTCCTTTTGTTTTATTCACTTGTGCAATTCTGTCATTCTGCCATCTACTGAAACAATATCCGAATGGATCAGCATAAGACAAGGAGTGTGTGAAATCAGTGCATTGAACAATTACAGAGTTCTTTTTTTAATAAATCCAAACCTTTTTCAGCTCAGGAGATGATAATAATGCTAACAAGTTTTAGTTGGATATCATTTTCATCCTTTTTTTTTCTCGCCGGCTACTTATCGGATGGCTGAGAGCAATGGCGACCAAGTAATTAAAACTAGCCTTTGAAATGAGTCATTGTGGACATTTCTACATCTTTTCATGCTGTCATGGAAATGATTCTGGATAGTCTGAGCATCAACGAATGTTCAAAAATGTTATTCTTGCCTTCAGAAAGATTGACTCTTAGGAGACGAAATTAAAAATAATAGGTAACATTTTATTCTGATAGTCCACTTTAGACATTCTACTGACTTGAAGTAACTGCGTTCAAGTCATCTCGGAAATAACTTTTGTTAAGCCCAGAGTTGGCAGAGTGTCATTATTTTTTGCATTTAATTTTAAATATTTTACATTTTAAATATTTTTATTTACAATAAAAATATCTTGTTGTTTTGAGAAAAAAAACATGGAAATATTGTACAATCATGAACCTTCATTAATTGAAAGAAAAAAGCATTTAAAGAAATCACAATCTTTACTGATCATTTCAAGTAGAGTTTCAAAATTTTATTTTAAGATTTTTTTTATTTTTTTTAAGAAAAGGTGCATCCATAACTTGCACATGAACACACCTGACATTGTAATAACGACTTGTCAAACTCGTAAACCAGGAGGGGAAGTTGACTACATTTCAACTAGCAGTCATTTTCATTAGAGCATTAGTAAACTGTCTGCTTAATATCTGCTAACACTTTATTTTGATGGTCCGCCAACACATTTTACTGACTATATGTAACTTGCAACTATGTGCACTCTAAAAAATCCTGGGGTATTTTTTTTAACCCAAATGCTGTTTTTTTTTATTTATTATTTTTTCAGTGTTTGGGTAGTTTTTGTGTTACTCAGATCCTGGGTCAGACGTAACCCAGCGGTTGAGTTATTTATCGCGGATATTGTGTGTCCTCTTCAGGAGAGAACAGTTCTAAGCACCATCGAATTGATGCATTTCTTCGTTAAAATACAGGTTTGTGTACATTTTATTTTTTATCAGTAAAATCGTTACTGTGCTGTATATCGTTCAATTTTATGCTAAAGTGGACTATTGAAATAAAGTGCAACCAATAAAACAGGGAAGAATGCATTGTACAGGGCTCTTCTCATTTATAAACATCCCTATTAAGTTGAAAAAGCAGATTGGTGCCTATAGAGTTGTAGTCAATGCAGCAGCAATTTCACAGATCAATGGCCTTTTCATTAAAATGGTTATCACAGTAAGTTACGGTTGTAGCGTCTGGACCAATCAAAAACACAATTTTTTGTGTTTGAACTAAGAATCTGATGTTCCCTTCAGGCTGTAAATCTGCTGAATATGCAAATGGTTCCATAACGTCGTTCCTTATTTCCTCTTTACTGCTTAAGCTTTAACCCTTTCCTAAACCAACTGTATGTGTGTGTGTATGTGTACGTTAGACCAGTTTAAGTGTGTATGTGTATGTTAGACCAGTTTAAGTGTTTATGTAGTATGTTAGACTAGTTTAAGTGTTT